GGGGCATGTGGGGCATGTGGGGTGTGTGGGGCATGAGGGGCGCGTGGGGCATGTGGGGCGTGTAGGGTATGTGGGCACAGTGTGGAACACGTGGACACGGCATGGGGTGCATGGGGTGCATGGGGCATGTGGGGCGCATGGGGAGCATGGGGCGCATGGGGCATGTGGGGCATGTGGGGCACAGTGTGGAACACATGGACACGGCATGGGGTGCATGGGGCGTGTGGGGCGTGTGTGGTGCGGGGGCACATGGGGCGGCCCACCTTGAAGAGCGTGACGGTGGCGCTGTAACACACGCTGAGCAGGAAGAGGGTGATGAAGATGGAGATGGTGGTCCACAGCCCGTCCAGCTCCCCGTCCTGGGCCTCGGCACAGCTCTCGTCCAGGAGCAGCTCTGCACAGCCTGGCCAGGTGGGGCCCATGGTGCCCGGCTCCCCCGTCCTCTGCCTCCAGCCCCGGTCTTAGCCTGGCTGGGCTGCCCTCTCCTCTCTGCCACCCGCACGGGGCCCTGGGGGACAAGGTGGGCTGACCCTCAATCCAGCCTGCTCTCTCGTCCACCAGCCCCTCTGCCTGCTCCCCCTGGGGTCAGAGGGCAGGAGGGCCCTGCCTGGGAAGGGCCAGCGCCAGGTCTGAGTTGGGAGTGCAGGAAAGTGGGTGGGCCCGAGGCCGGCCTGGGTGCCTGGGGAGGACTTCTGTGTGTTGGGGAGGGTGTGGGTGCCTGGGAAGGGGGAAGGGTGTCTGAGCTGGTCAGTGTGGGGATGTGCTGCTGAGTGACCCCTGGGGCATTGGGTGGGGGCAGGCTGGTTTCCATGGTGGGGGTTCCCAGGACCCGCTCTGTTCTCTGGTCTGGGCCTGTGCAGGGTGCCTTGTGGGAGGCCTGCAGTGTAAGGCCTGTCTCTGTGTGCATACATGTGTGCACACATGCGGGCATGCCTGTGTGTTCATGTGTGTATGTCTGAGTGTGCATGTGTGTGCATGCACGCGCACTTGTGTGTGTGTGTGTGTGTGTGTGTGTGTGTGTGAAGGTGGCCATGTGAGCTGGTGCTGGTCTGTGGGTGCCTTGTTTTCCACGGTCTGGCTCAGTATCCCTGTGGCCTCTGACAGTCCTTCCCTGGGACCCCAGGGCTGCCTGCCTCTGCCTCTTTGGGGCAATCGGGTGTGTGTCCTCCTGAGCGGACAGGCCTGGCCCCAGGCGGGACATGGCCCACAGAGCCCCCTCGCCCGAGGGAGGGTGGGAGGCTTGGTCTCGAGGGCACGAAGGGCCTGTCCCACACCACGGGCCAGTGTGCTCTTGTGCGGGCACAGAGCCACATCCGGGAGCCCTGGAGACCAGTGGACAAGGCACCCGGAGACCAGGCACTGCCCACAGCAGGGCTTGCTCAGAGGCGGGCACCCTCCTGGGCCCTCCTGTCCCTGAGTGGCATCTCCTGCCCCCTGTCCACATCTCCTGACCGAGTCCTTGCCGGCCGTGCAGAAGCCGTCCCGCCCTGGCGCCTGCAGACCCAAAGGCTCTGGGTCCCGCCCTAGCGGTGCCGACCAGCCTCCGAATCGGCCTGACCTCCACCCCGGAAAGAACCACGACAGTGTCGCAGGGTCCCAGGGTCGCGCTGGGTGCTTTATTGAATGCTGGGTGCCCGAGGGTATGTACACGGGGGGTTGCCGGGCGCCGGGCGCGCTGCTCATTTACCCGGGTTCCGGGAGACGGTCTTCTGGGCGTAGTGGTTGTGCAGGCCCTCGTGCATCACCTCGCACGTGAAGGGGTCCCCCCGCTGCCAGCGGGCCTTGTCCACGGTGAGCTTGCTGTACAGGAAGAAGGAGCCCTCCTGGTCCTTCTGGGGCGGGGTCGAGGAGTACTTGGTCTCAGGCTCTGGCCGCCCGTTGCTCTGCCACTCCACGCTGATGTCCGGCGGGAAGAAGTCTTTGACCAGGCAGGTCACGCTGACCTTGTCCCTGGCCAACTCGTCCGAGTGTGGGCCCAGGACGTACACCTGCGGCTCCCGGACTTGCCCTGTGGGATGAGGTCAGCACAGACGGTCACTCCCAGGTGGAGGGCTGGCCCCCCGCCCCGCCCCCACCCCGCTGTCTGCTCCCCACCTATGGCCTTGGAGATGGTCCTCTCGATGGGGGACGGGATGGCCTTGTTGTTGACCTTGCACTTGAACACCTTGCCCTTTAGCCAGTCCTGGTGCGCGATGGCGAAGGAGTTGACCACGCGGTAGGTGCTGTTGAACAGCTGCTGCTGCGCCTTCACCTTCTCCGTGTTCATCCGTTGGTCGTCCACGTACCAGGTGAACTCGACTTCCAGGTCATCCGGGGCCACGTCCACCACCATGCACGTGACCTCGGGTGTCCGGGAGATCATGAGGGTGTCCTTGGGTTTCGGGGGGAAGATGAAGACCGAGGGCCCTCCCGGGTTCTCACAAGCTGCGGGGAGACAGCGGCCAGGGGTCAGCCCTGGGCAGGCCTTCCCTGGGCAGGCACTCCCCGTGGGCCTCCTCCTGTGGTGAATACTCACGTGGGCACGTGTGAGGCGGGCAAGAGGTGGGGGGAGGTCCGGAAAATAAGGGCACTGCAGAGAGAGGAGGCTGAGGGTTACCGGGGCCCTACAGGGCACGGCCCTGGGCAGGGGCTTAGGTCAGGGCCAGAGTTTGGCAGGTCTGAGGCCAGCACCCGCCTCTGTGGCTCCAGAGCCTGTGCCCACCCTGGGCCTGGTGGTGATACCAAGAGGACCCCTCCCCCAGCCTGGGGAGACCGTCTGCACTCCCCCCACTGCCCTGGGCTGGGGCAGCCATCCCTGCTCTGTGGTTTGTCTCCTAGCAGATGTCTCTCTGTGCCTGGGTGCTCACCGGGCTTGTCCACCTTGGTGCTGCTGGCCGGGTGGGCTACGTTGCAGATGAAGGTCTGGCTGGACGAGCTGGCGGGCACTGTCACCATGCTGCTCATAGAGTAGAGGCCCGAGCGGAGGACGGATGGGAAGGTGTGCACCCCGCTGGTCAGGGAGCCCGAGTTCCAGGTCACAGTCACGGGCTCCGGGAAGTAGCCAGAGACCAGGCAGCCCAGGGACACCGTGGAGCTGGAAGTGGTGCCACATTTGGCGGACAGCGGGAAGACCGACGGGGCCGTGGTGGAGGCTGTAAGAGAGGGGCCACGTGACTGCCAGGTCTCACCCTACCGAAGCCTGGGCAGGGCATCGGGGGGCCAGGCCCGGGACAGTGCTGAGCCCCGTGCCCGTGGCCCATGGGCTCCCAGAAGCCTGAAGACCCAGAAGCCTGCAGACCAGCTGCCCCATGCCGCTCTGCCACCCAGGGCCTCCCTCCTCCACAGCCACAGGTACCAGGCTCAGCAGCTCAGCCAGTGCTGCCTGGGCGGGAGCCCCCCACCCCCAGCCCTGGGTCCTCCCTGAGCCTCGGAGCCCTAACTGGTGGCTCTCGCTCTGCCTGGCCTCCACGGCCCCTGAACCCACTGTCCTGTTGCCCCGCCTGGCCCTGCCCCGGGTGAGGAGGCCCTTCCTCAGGCAGGTGGGCCTCTGTCACCCACGGTCCGAGCTCTGCTCCCAGCCCACAGTCCTCTGCCCTTCTGGGTCAGCACTGCAGCCAAGGCACTGCCTGGTCCCCACCCCCGCCTGGAGCCCCTCCATGGGAGCCCCTCCCCTCCTCCCTGCAGCTCCCCAGTCCAGCTGCGCCTCTGCACCCAGCAGTCTCTCACACTTGCCCCTTCTCACCCCCCCAACACCACCCTCCCACACTGCCCCCTCGCTGCCCCAGCTCCTGCCTAGTCCAGAGCCCTCCTGCCGGGTCCTTCCTCAGTCCGGCCCGCTCAGCATGGCTTGGAGCCTGGCACTGGCCTTGCAGCCTTCTGCATGGTGTCAGTGCCCAGGACCCCTGTGTGGCCCCCTTAGCTCAGCCCCAGGGCCCTGCCCCGCTGTCCCCCACCTCCCTGCTCAACCCCCACCTCATCCTGGGCTCCTTTTAGCTCAGGCCCTGCCTTATCCCCGAGCTCCCTCCCAGCTCAGCTGCACAAACTCTGCCTGCTGCTCAGGGCTCCCAGCCCAGTGGCCCCCTCCCCCTCAGTGCCCTGCAGGCTCACCCCTCCAGCTGCTCCCCACAGCCTCCTCTGCGCCCCCCAAGCCTCTTCCTGGACATTCAGAGGCGCTCAGGCCTCTGTCCCCCAGTCTCTACCTTTGTCCATCTGAATCCCATTTCTGCCCGCTCTGGCCCGCCCCTTGCCCTGGGCCTCAGCCCTGACCCCAGCTGGGAGCTCAGCTTCTTGTACTCAGGCTCTAGGGCTCAGCCCAGGGCTGCTGTGTCCTCCCCTGACCTGCACCCTGCCCCTTTTCACTGCACCCCTGGCCAACAATGCCCCCTCCGCCTACTGCCCTATGACCCCTCTCTACTCACCTGCTCACCCAAGCTCTCCTGGCTCCTGGGCACTCCTGCCCTCCCAACTGCGCCCTGCTCACCTGCATAACTCTGTCAGCTCCCATGGCTCCTGGGGAAGCTCCTTGCCCACTCCCCTCCTCCCTGTACCCTGCTCACCTGCATAGCTCTGCCAGCTCCCACCCAGCTCCTGGGTAGCTCCCTGCCCTCCCACCTGCCCACTGCTCACCAGCATAGCTCTGCCAGCTCCCCCCCACCTCGTGGGCAGCTCCCTGCCCCCCCGCCTGCCCCCTGCTTGCCTGCATAGCGCTGCCAGCTCCCACCTAGCTCCTGGGCAGCTCCTGCCCTCCCGCCCGCCCCCTGCTCACCTGCATTGCTCTGCCAGCTCCCCCCCACCTCGTGGGCAGCTCCCTGCCCCCCCGCCTGCCCCCTGCTTGCCTGCATAGCGCTGCCAGCTCCCACCTAGCTCCTGGGCAGCTCCTGCCCTCCCGCCCGCCCCCTGCTCACCTGCATTGCTCTGCCAGCTCCCCCCCACCTCGTGGGCAGCTCCCTGCCCCCCCGCCTGCCCCCTGCTTGCCTGCATAGCGCTGCCAGCTCCCACCTAGCTCCTGGGCAGCTCCTGCCCTCCCGCCCGCCCCCTGCTCACCTGCATTGCTCTGCCAGCTCCCCCCCACCTCGTGGGCAGCTCCCTGCCCCCCCGCCTGCCCCCTGCTTGCCTGCATAGCGCTGCCAGCTCCCACCTAGCTCCTGGGCAGCTCCTGCCCTCCCGCCCGCCCCCTGCTCACCTGCATTGCTCTGCCAGCTCCCCCCCACCTCGTGGGCAGCTCCCTGCCCCCCCGCCTGCCCCCTGCTTGCCTGCATAGCGCTGCCAGCTCCCACCTAGCTCCTGGGCAGCTCCTGCCCTCCCGCCCGCCCCCTGCTCACCTGCATTGCTCTGCCAGCTCCCCCCCACCTCGTGGGCAGCTCCCTGCCCCCCCGCCTGCCCCCTGCTTGCCTGCATAGCGCTGCCAGCTCCCACCTAGCTCCTGGGCAGCTCCTGCCCTCCCGCCCGCCCCCTGCTCACCTGCATTGCTCTGCCAGCTCCCCCCCACCTCGTGGGCAGCTCCCTGCCCCCCCGCCTGCCCCCTGCTTGCCTGCATAGCGCTGCCAGCTCCCACCTAGCTCCTGGGCAGCTCCTGCCCTCCCGCCCGCCCCCTGCTCACCTGCATTGCTCTGCCAGCTCCCCCCCACCTCGTGGGCAGCTCCCTGCCCCCCCGCCTGCCCCCTGCTTGCCTGCATAGCGCTGCCAGCTCCCACCTAGCTCCTGGGCAGCTCCTGCCCTCCCGCCCGCCCCCTGCTCACCTGCATTGCTCTGCCAGCTCCCCCCCACCTCGTGGGCAGCTCCCTGCCCCCCCGCCTGCCCCCTGCTTGCCTGCATAGCGCTGCCAGCTCCCACCTAGCTCCTGGGCAGCTCCTGCCCTCCCGCCCGCCCCCTGCTCACCTGCATTGCTCTGCCAGCTCCCCCCCACCTCGTGGGCAGCTCCCTGCCCCCCCGCCTGCCCCCTGCTTGCCTGCATAGCGCTGCCAGCTCCCACCTAGCTCCTGGGCAGCTCCTGCCCTCCCGCCCGCCCCCTGCTCACCTGTATAGCTTTGCCAGCTCCCACCCAGCTCCTGGGCAGCTCCCTGCCCTCCACTGGCCCCCTGCTCACCAGCATAGCTCTGCCAGCTCCCACCCAGCTCCTGGGCAGCTCCCTGCCCTCCCGCCTGCCCCCTGCTTGCCTGCATAGCTCTGCCAGCTCCCACCTAGCTCTTGGGCAGCTCCCTACCTTCCCGCCTGCCCCCAGCTCACCTGCATAGCTCTACTAGCTCCCCCTGCTCCTGGGCAGCTCCCTGCCCTCCCTCCGGCCCCCTGCTCACCTGCATTGTTGTCCATAAAGTTCCTGCCGTAGCCGCTGCCCCTTCTCCCCTAAGGTCACCTCCCTACAAGTCAATGAGCTCCACCTGCGCTGCATGTCTCCCCACAGCTGCCGCCAGGCCTCCTGCCAAGCCCAGAGCCCTCAGCCCAGCAGCTCCACTCCTGGTCTCATTCCTTCCTGGCTGCTCTCAGCTTTGGTCCTTGGCTTTGCTCCCTAGAGCCTCCAGCTGCCCGCCCTCTCTCTGGCCAGCTTGTCCCCTACAACCTCTGCCCACCCTGCCCTGCCCCAGAGCTGACCTCCTCTTCACTCTCCCCACTGGGAGCCCCTCTGGACCTTTGCTCTTTCCAGTAGCTGGTCAGCTGCCTGTGCTCAGCAGCTCCTGGACCTGAGCCCTGGACCCTGTCACCTGCCCACACCCATGGAGCTGCTGGCTCCGCCTCTGACTTAGCCCATTGGCCTGGACAGGCCCCTCAGGCCACCTGGGGGTCCTCTTCCTCCGCTGCACCACGCCGGCCACCTCCCTGTTTCCCCAGCTCAGATCACTGTGCATCCGGGCGTGGTCCTGCCATGGCTGCCCCAGCCCTGCCCTCTGGCCCGGGCAGCCCTAGGGTCCTGCCCTCCTGCTCGCTACGTTTCTCTCAGGCCCTGGCCCAGCTGCTCAGGGCACTCTGTGGGTCCCTGAGGGCCTGGTCTCCCCTCAGCTCCTGGGGCCAGTTCCATTCTTCCTCCTCGGCCCTGCTCTGTAAGGGACCCCACTCACCACGGGCGGGGTCTGGGGAGGCAGTGCCCCCGGCCTGACTGCTCTTGTCCCCACTGCATGTGGCTCCTGGTGGTGTGGCTGTGCCCACAGCCCCACGTCCAAGGCATTGGTAGCTGGGCCCCTGAGACGTGAATTCCCCCGCCGCCCCGCCCCAGCCCTGCGAAGACTAAGAACGGGATTGAAACTGGTGCAGGGCTCGATTCCTGAAGTTCCCTTTTTTCTGGGTGGTTTCTCTGTCAAGGGGCCTGGGGGAGTCCAGATGCAGCAGAGGGCCCCTCACGTGGGTGTGTGGGGTGGGGTGAGGCGGGCATCCAGGGCCCAGGGGACAGAGTGAGAACCCGCTGTCATGTGCTCTGCCCCCCATGGGGCCGGGCTCTCTCTCAGGCCCCTGGCTTCCCCAGCCTCGTTGGCACCTCTCCCTGCCCCGGCAGCGTGGGTGTGGGCACAGGCCACCAGGTCACAGTCTGCAGCCCAGCCCAGGCTCCTCATCTACCCACTGGGGCGGCTCCCAGGAGCCAGCTGTCCTCAGGGCCCTGCCTCTGCCCTCCTTCCCTCTCTGGCTCCATCATGGCCTGATCATTGACCAAAGGATGGTGCTGACCACGGTCAGAGGGAAGCGGCCCTCCAGGCTCAGATGCGCAAGGCCAGAGTTCACGGTGGTCACCGGGGCCCGAAGATGCCCCTCTGGCTGGGACCGCGTGCAGCCCTCCACCGCTCTGAGGGCGCGGACCCACCACAAGGGACTTGGACCTCAGTGTCTGCATCTCGTGCCTCACGCAGCTCGGTCGTCCTGCAAGTCCGAGGTCTGGCCTTGGCTTGGGGTGCTGGGAGGCACCAGAGCCCCCACCCCTGAAGTGCCGGGGGCCAGGAAGTCTTCTTTCAAGGGGTCCGTGGGCAGGGCTTGTGCCCTTCAGGCCGGCAGAGCATGTGCAGGCCCAGTGCCCAGGACCCCGGAGCACCCGTCCAGTTATGTGTCGGCCAACAGTCCCCTGGGCCCCTCCGCCTGTCCTGCCGTCCAGTCCTCATGCCACCTCCCAAGGTTTGGGGTTTCTTCCCAAGTCCCAGATCCTGGTCCAGGGGTGCACAGGAGACTCAGTGAG